CTGCGCGTACAACACAGCTCCTTCGATATAGCATCTTTCTCTGCCTCCAGTTTATTAATTTCATCTTGTTGTTTACTCAATTGATTTTCTAGATCATTAATGCATCTTTTGTAATAATTATCTTCCGAGTTGTCCTCTTTTGTATGGGACGGCTGAGGAGTGCCTGGCTTGAACAGTGCCTCTTGCAATTCTTTTATTTTCGCTGATTTTTCGTCAAGCTTCTTCTGCAACTTCTTTATCTTGTTGTGTTGCCTCGATATATCATCCCGTAAATCCGCGTTAGTAAAACGTTCTATCTGCAAGTTGCATCTCAAGTCTCTCAGCTCCCGAACACGCTCCGTCAAAATCTTCTTGCTACGTCCAGAACGCGTTAAAGGAGAATTGGAAAAGTCCTCGAGGGGCGGTGTTCTGAGACTATCCACAGCTGTTGATGTATCCTCTACCTCCATAATAACGTCTCTCATAGTTTCCTTGGTAACATCCTTGCCAATAGGTAGGACACTCTCGAGGAAGGTTTTAACTCTAATTTGCGTCTCATTTCTCAAGTTATCGCACATATTGTATTGGAAGGAATGGTGTACCGCAGAGAGTGCTCGACATAAATGCAAGAGTAACAACGATGCAACGTATATATGTTCTGTGTTATCATCTTTATTGACTTTGAAAGTAGGATATTCCTCTGTAAACAGACAACGTAAACAAAAATTAATTCTTCCAACTATACACAATCTAAAATTTAAAAAAACTAAGTCAAGTTTATATTTTGTTGTTGCTAATTCTCTGGTTTAGAAATTTCTGCTTTTTAAAAGTGTAAAGATTTAAAAAATAATATATTTATGTCCATTTTTACCAATAAAGTAAAGTGTATCACCTTGCTGTAGATTAACCTCAGTCTTGGTTTAATTTATTTTTTTTTTTCTAGCTCTAATGTCCATTCCTATCAACTCAGGTTAATTTTAATCTTGGTTTAACTTACCTGTCATCTTTTCCTAGTTCTAGAAAAAGATAGAAAGTAAGATGAACATTGGTAGAAATGAGCATAAGAAAAAGAAAAGCAGAAAAAGTAAGTTAAACCAAAATTAAAGTTAATCTGCATTAATAGAAATAGAGCACTAGGAAAGCAGTATGACGAACATGAAAATATTTGTGCTCACCTTCCATAAATTTCACAATGTCTTCTTGACCGAAGTTCTCAAGCTTTTTCCATTTTCTGCAAACATGATAAATTGAATGACAATAGGCTTAGATAGCAGGTTTGCGTTGCGACATAGCTATTACAGGAATAATGTACTTACATTAATTTAAGGAAATTGATATAAAACGTTCCATCTTGCAATTCCGTTATACTTTTCACTGGTTTTTCCTGCACTTCTAAGCAATTGATCTGTAAATTTAAACATTTGCCCATGAGACATCTCTCTTTCCCTTTGATGTCATTCTCTCTTGAATGTCATTACATACACGTAGCTTGAAACTCTAGGAGCATAATAATTACAATACGCTCGTCATCTAACGATCGAACAATTGTTGGAGAACAATGTTGCAAAGAGAGTTAGAAGTAGAAAGACATGAAAAACTCATTTGCAAAGCCTGAAAGGGTTCGGATGTACGATATTGTGTACATACGATTCACTCTCGTTCCATGTGTGACAGGGACGCTTTGTGTACGTTAATTTTCGTCGGGCGTTTACACGTAAAAATTATTGCTTACCCATTCTAAGATAACTTTTTCCCACAGCTCCATGATTGTCGAGCATCACCGTGTTTGGAGCCGATGAAACTACAGAATAATACGCGAAATTATCGCGCGCACGTGAACCTCTGAGTCTCCCGAATAATACAGAGAATTCGTTTGATTTTTCGAACAACGGATTCATCGCAGGTCGGCCAACTGTGGCCAATTAGGCCAATCGGACCGGAGATAACGTTCCCAGATTAAAGGTTAAGT